ATCAGCATCACAAAGGACCTTAAAGCTCATTTCATTTCAACCCCCTGCATGGGCAGGGACATCTTCCACTAGACCAGGTTGCTCCAAGCCCCATCCAACCTGGCTTTGAACACTTCCAGGGATGGGGCAGCCACAGCTTCTCTGAGCAACCTGTGCCAAGAACTCACCACCCTCCCAGGGAAAAATTTCTTTCTAATATCTAATCTAAACCTATTGCCAGTTTGAATCCATTCTCCCTTGTCCTGTCACTACGTGTTCTTGTATAAAGTCCCTCTCCATCCCTCTTGCAGGACTGAGTATTACCTCTGTTTTATCGGAGTCGTCGGTCCCCAGTAACTCGTCATCCTCTTCCCTCCCTGGCTCCTGCTGGCGGCTGTGCTGGTTCTTGGGGATTTCAACTGGCTCATCAATGCTTATGGTGGTGGCATCAGGATTTGCTGCAAGCAAATTAGCTGCATCGTCAAATTCTGCAAACAAGTACATTACAAGACAAGCGATGATCGATCAAGATACTAAAATTTCTGTTCTCGTGGCTCAAAACCCCACATTAGGACCCTGAGACAGGATAATCACTAGCTCAGGCATGTCTGTTTCTCAGAGCCCAAACTGATACAGATCAAGCTGAACATTTACTTAGTCAATGAAGTGTGAGGCTGCCTTTCCTGCCAATCTGCCTGCAGGATGACACACTGGCACCACCGGAGCCTTCCTTCCCTCCCTGCCATCAGCTCCCTGCAAGGGCAGGGGGAAGCTGCGTGATTTTAATATTCTCCAAAAACTGACATGAATTTTTCTATCAACAGTTAAGGGAGTCCAAAACCACGGCCCTTCCCAGGTTACAGAGTGCTCTACCCGTTTCCAGCTTTCACTTTTTACCACAAAGGATATCGATCAGTCAGTGATTCCAGTCAACCCAGTTACAATTTTTAGCTCGCCAGCAGCACAATTCCACCCCGGAAAATTCACCACCTGCAAAACTCCCAAGGGCGCTTCTACTCAGAGAACGCCCAGAATCGCTCCCAAAGCCTCCAGTGCCAGGCGGCTCCCCCAGCCGGGCCCCAACCCCGCGCCCGCACCTGCGACACCGCCTTTACCTTGGAATTTGAGGTCGTCCGCCGCCGCCATTCATCCGCCTGCGTGGGGATCCACTCCCCGGGGCTCGACCCTCCTGCAAGGGCACAGGGGCAGCGCTGGGCCGGGCGAGTCCCGCGCCCTGCCCTGTGCCAGCGCCGTTGTCACCGCGGCCGCGCCCCCACGCTGCCCCCGCCCGCCCATGTCCCCCGCGCCCCCCGGCCCGGGGCACCCCCACACCGGGTCACCCCCGCAGCTCCACACCGGGGCAGCCCTGGCATCCCCCACGCCCCCCGGCCGGGACACCCCGCACCTCCGCCAGACCCCGCACCAGCCCCGCTCCGCGCCCTTAAAGGCGCCGCGGCCGCCGCGCCGCGCCGGCCAATCAGCGGCCCCGCCGGGCCCTTCCGCGCCCCCGCCCCTCGGAGCGCAACCGACCCGTCGCGGCCGCGCCCGGCGCCGGCCAATCAGAGCCCGCGCGGCGCTTCCGGGTGCGCCTCCGGCCGCCCCCTTAAAGGGCCCGTGCGTGGCGGCGTCTGCTGAGTCCGTGAGCTTGTACACGGGCTGCGTGTAATCAGATGTTTGTTCAGTCTGTTACAAGTGGACGTCACATACTGGGATAATTTACATTTTTATCATAGAATCACAGAGTGGTTTGCATGGGAAGGGACCTTAAAACTCATCCAGTTGCAAATCCTCTGCCATGGGCAGGGACACCTTCCACTAGACCAAGTTGCTCCAAGCCCCGTCCAGCCTGGCCTTGAACACTTCCAGGGATGGGGCAGCCACAGCTGCTCGGGGCAACCTGTGCCAGGGCCTCACCACCCTCACAGGGAAGAATTTTTTCCTAATATCTAATCTAAACCTACTGTCAGGGGGAAGCCATTCACCCTTGTCCTGTCACTCCAGGCAGTAAACAGTCTCTCTCCATCTTTCTTGTAGGCTCCTTCAGATACTGGAAGGCCTCAATTATGTCACCCCGAAGCCTTCTCTTCTCCAGGCTAAACAATCCCAGTTCTCTCAGCCTTTCCTTATAGCAGAGGTGCACCATCCCTCTCATCACCTTGGTGGCTTCTTCTGGACTCACTACAACAGCTCCGTGTCTTTCCTGAGCTGGGGACCCCAGAACTGGATATTATATATATGGGGGTATATCTACTTTTTTTTATCCTTCAAGCCCCAAAGTGTCAAACCCTGGTGTGTGGCAGAGCCCCAGAGCAGGCAGAGCAGGGGGAACTGTTTGCACAGCACCTGCATCACCTCAAGGCCATGAGCATCAGCATCTTGGTCTTTAGTCCGGGATTCAGGGAGAACATCGTGATTCAACGCCTTTCAGTAGTGAAATACACTACATATTTGTGAATAAACCTCACAGCTCTGCAGTGAGCACAACACATCCACCCTTTGCTGCAAATCATGCCTTTGGTGCAGCTGGAGGGAGCACTGCTGGCGGGCTCCTCCCTCATGCAGAGGCTGAAGTGCAGTGTGTGTGCAAGGGAAGGCAGAAATTCAACTAAACACGTGAACATTTTCCTCCCCCTCCACCTTTGCCCCTGTCTCTGCTGTGTTCCCATCGGGAGCAGCCAGATCTTCTCCAACACAATGTTCAGCATCAAGGTGTTCCTACAGAAAACGCTGATTCTTCTGCAGGTTACTCTGTCTGTTGTTGTTGGCAAAACACTGATGATACTGTTTCCCAATGCCATGAAAAGATATATCCTAAAACTGGGCGAAAAGAGCAGAATGAACAAGAATCCAAAGTTCAGCTATGAAAACTGGGGTCCGACTTTTTTCAGCTTCAAGTATTTGCTCTTTGTGCTGAAGGTGAAGTGGAAGAGGCTGGAAGATGAAGCCTTCGAGGGACAGCCTGCTCCCAACACGCCGGTGGTGACCCTCAATGGAGAAGTTCGTCACCTCTTGGATTTCATGGGAGGTCAGTAATTGAGCCACGTCAGATGGGTTTGCTATGCTGAGACCATAAATGAGGGATGCTGAGGGAACAGGGACAGGCATCTGGCACCAGAACCTTTTGGTATTTGTGAACCTTTTGCAAGAGCTGGCTTTGCCTGGAAACCCTTTTATTGAAAACCAAGATAATAATTTGTTTTAGGGAGAGAAGGCCCAGAACTGAACCATGTGCGGTGATTCAGGAGTGCTGGCTGTTGTTCCCTGTTGGTACAGAAGATCCCACACCAGCTCCCTCAGCCAGTCTAAACCCTAGAAAGCACAGGGTGGGTTTTTCCAGATCCAAGGTGGCTGGAAATAAAAGCAGAAGTAGCTGCTTTGTACTTTGTCCGCTGCCCCCCACTGAGATCTCTGTAGAATGTGGAATTAATCATTAAGCTGCAGCCTCCATCCCCATGGGAGGGATTACATCCTTCTCTCTCTGCTTTTCTAATTATATACAGATATTTATGTAGAAAATGAGATGCAAGTTTGGAAAGGAATACACAGCATCTACAGGAAGGTACACTTCTATTAAATTCTTCAGGATGTGAATCTATGTTAGCAGCCACTTTTGAAGTTAAACCCAGCCAGAAGGAAGGTCTTGAACAAATTTCAGTTGAACTCGTTGCGGGATGCAGCACAAGTCAGAGCCAAGGAAAAGAAAGCATCTTTATGCCTGTTTTATGTAGATGCAGACATTGTGTTGCTGATTTTAATGACCAAAGGTTATGGGATAAGTGTTGTCCGGGAATCTCTGTGTATGCATTTAATTCTGCCCTTCCTCCCTTCCTGATTTAACCACAAAATGTCCTTTTTTTTTTTTCCCCCCCAGATAACCGTCCTTTAATCCTGAATTTTGGAAGTTGCACCTGACCATCATTTATGCTAAAATTTGATGAGTTCAACAAACTCATCAAAGATTTTGGCTCAGTAGCAGATTTCCTTATCATCTACATTGAGGAAGCTCATGCAGCAGGTACAGCACAAACAGCACAGCTGATGCCAAAAGCAGCTTCATACGTGTCATTCCCTTTAGGAAGAAAATGTGTTAGAGCAAAGGAGGGAGCTTCAAATGGGAAAAACACTTTCCTCAAATCAAAAGTGGCAACACCACATCTCAGGCACGAGTTTGTGTCTGTAATTCTCCAAAGATTCTACTCACACACTTTACAGAGTTACTCCTGCTGAACACTCAGCTCTGTGAAGGTGAAGGACATAGTTAACACCTTTACAAAACTTCCTCTCAGTGTTAGTACAGCTCCTTTTAGAAAGTGGAAGAAAAGACATTTCATAGAATGAAGGTTAGGTGTGCAATGCCAGCATGTTATATGTTTTAAAAAAAAGAAGATTCATTTTTAACATGTCTCAAGAACAGGATGCAGACTCCAACAGGATATATGTTCCCCACTTTGTATCTTTCTAGGGTCGATTTATGTGGGAAAATTTCAGCTAAAAATATAAAAAATATTTCTGAATCCAGGGCAAGGGTAAAATAGAGTTTGCTGAAATTAAAGAAAAAAAAATAAATCTTAGGACCACTTATTTGAAAAGCTCTAGTGATCCCATACTCTGAGGTGGGCTTTCATTTCATGGCAAGCTTTCGTGTTAGAAGTAAACTGCAGGATTTTTTAACCCAGTTTTGGGATATGACACACACGCAGTACATCTCTGCCTTGCACCCATTCAAAGTGCTCTTTGCTAAATCCCTTTCTCATTTGTTTTAGATGGATGGGCTTTTAAAAACAACGTTGTTATTAAAAATCACAGAAGCCTTGAAGATCGAAAAATTGCAGCACAATTTCTTCAGAAAAATAATCCTTTATGTCCAGTAGTTTTAGACACTATGGAAAACCTGAGCAGCTCAAAATACGCTGCGCTGCCAGAACGACTGTATCTGCTTCAAGGAGGAAAAGTTATCTACAAGGTAAAAAGTATCAGTAATAATGAGCACAATATGCTAAGATTTTTAAATTCCAAAATAATTTGAGACCGCCTGACATTTATTTAATTCAGTTTGAGAGCTAAAAATTTCACGATTCACTGTAACTATGGAGAGAAATAAAGATCCATCAAAACCAGCCTGGGCCTTTAAAATGTACATATTTGATGTACACCTCAGTCTTGCTCAAATATTTATCTTTTGGGTCACTAGTAACCCTAGGTACATCTAAGCTGTGAGATCCAGGAACACTTTCCAGCTCCAGGATGCAGACATTGGCACCGTCCCAGTGACACAGCAGGGTGCAACCTGTGCATACACCATCTCCCAGCGATGGCTGCAGTGCAAAGGGAGCCCAGGCACACCTGCCCACAGTTCTGGTGCAGCTGCTGTGCTCCAAAGGACTTCTGCTCTGCCTGCTTGAATATCACTGTGTCACTTTATTGCCTTTGCAGGGAGGATTTGGGCCTTGGAATTACCACCCCCAGGAAATACGTGCCATCCTGGAAAAGCTGAAATAGAAAAAGAAGAGGATTCAGAGTAAAGACTGGATAAAGAAGCTCAAGAACAATTTCTCACAGACATAACTGTAAAGAAAAAAAAGAATTTAAAAATAACAAGAGACAACAAGAAAAGGAATATTTTATGTACATCTAAAGAGCATCCGTAATGGGGTTCATTATGTGTTTGTCCAGAGGCTTTCAAGTGTCATCATTACAACCCCAACTACTGCTCTGTAGTATCTTACTCCACTTATACCACAAGCAGTAATGTGGTAGCTGGGTCCATTGAGCTCTCATACCAACACTTATATTTGTAAGGACTGGAAACCAACATTTACATGTGTAAGGACTATCCTGCAGGATGAACTTCAGGGGTGCTGACTCCTGCAAGAGTCTTCTGGCATGCAAAGCAACTGATTCAACATTACTAAGGTTCTCTTTCTCCTGTATACATACAACTCTTCCTAAACACACACTTTTACTGACTTCAGGAGGCTTCTGAGCAAGGCAATCTCCATCTCCACTTGTTTCCATGAATATTTGTTATGGCGGCCACAGCATAAAGCACTGACAGCTGTGACCTGATTCTAGAAAATATTTATAGAAACAAGGGATTGATCTACAATTATTAAAAGTCTATCAGAGCACTTCATATGTCTTCACATTATTTCCTTCCCCACCCTGCCCCTCTCCCCCCCCCAGTTATTTCTCAGCATTAGCAGTTTATATTCATCCTTGAGCTGATGAGAAAGTTACCAGTTCATGGACTTTTGAAGGATTTGCTACACAATAGGAAGTAGTACCTCCCATTTAAGTACTTAATGCTTTCTTTTCTATTCATAGTGTAAGGGAAACATTTTACAGGAAATTGAGTTTTAATTCATATATATTAGGAAAGCCTGATATAAATATACTAATTTAAATGGACTCAGGTATGCTCAAGTGTTCTAAACTGACAGTTTAGGTTATAAAATAAGAAAGCTGTTATTACAATTAACAAGAGCATGGCATTGTGGTTGGACTCGATCTTAACAGTCTTTTTCAACCTAAATGGTTTTATTCTATCCTATTCCATACATGACACCAGCAGGGAATACATACTACATCCATACCTTCAAAAAAACACTTTAATACAAGGTTCTAATAATAAACATTCTCTGCAATACAGCTATCAAGATGTCACTTCAGTACAAAAGAATGGAGGTCCAAATTTAAGCTGGACTTAAGCATTTTCTGCTGTGCCCTCTGCCATCACCCGGTGCACTGACACAAAATGATCAAAGGCAGATTTGATGATGAAACGCAAGTAAGTGGCCTGGAATTCAGGAAGCTGCAGAAGGAATAAAAAAATGTTATTTCATTCTCTGTGGTGACAAAACTACCAAACATTTGCAGAAGTTTGTTAGACAGAAGGATCTAGACACTTCCATGCCTGTCTTCTAATTGCACATAAATCAAGCTCTTTAACAACATCTAGCCAGCTTCAGAGTTTCTTCAGATGACAGCAATTCAAAAAAGCCTCATCACTCCTGAATTCTACAGCCTTTTAAAGGCAACAATTGAAGGAGGGAAGATTGCCACACTTCTGGAAAGGGCCCTCCACATAGTTAGGAGCACTAGGCAGGTGCAATTTCATACCATAATCTACAAAGGAGCAGCTGGGAAATGCAATTTCATACCTTGATCTACAAATTCCTCTCTCTAACACCAACTGAGCAAATAATTGTGAATAAAGACGTTTGGTTTTTTTATAGATTCTCCCCACTTAGTCCAGACATCCCATTTCATGAACCACTACTGATGTACACCATAAATACTCACTGGAAATTCTTCCATTTGGAGCTGTCCTTCTGTGTGTTGCAAATCTAGAAAACATATTTTAAAGCAGATAATGAAGAATAATGTGAAATGCTGTGAAAAGTTTTCACTGGACTCAGAGTTCAAGTGAATTTAAGGACTTTGAATTTACACTGCGTATAGAAATAGTTATTTTTTATTTTTACAAGGTGATTTAAGAGAATAAATACTTTTTTGCAATATCCCAGTGTGTATATATATGCTACTCATTATGCTGGGTTATAAAATGTCACTCAAGAGGCACTAAAAACCCCAAACAATGCAGGAAATGGCACTCTATTATACTATGTAAGCCTGTTTTTAATTTTTGGAACATAAAGTGCACAAGTAGTGCTTTTAGCCCTTATACAGCATTTTATTTTCCAAACAGCTACAGACACCAGCAGTGTTCATAAAATTCACTTAAACATGACTATTACATTAATGTCGAATAAAATAATCATCAAGCTACACTTTACTCAGCAAATAGATGTGGGGTTAAAATAATTGAAAAAGACAAACATTCCCACAAAATCCGTTTCTTCAGAGCCCTACCTTTTTCAATGCACGGTTCAAAACCCACAGGGTCTTTAGATACACTTCTTTCAATCCTTAAGGTCCGCACTAAAACACATATAAATTTGAGATATCAAAACAAGTTCTGATTCCTTATTGATAATGATATTTATTCCATCGCTTTTCATCCACAAAGCACTTCAAAAGCACTAACTAATCCATTCTTCCTCTAACCTATGGAGGGTTTGGACGTGACAGACGATTCCTTTGTGAAGTTAAATCTTAATGGATCTGTTAAAAAGTGGCTACTTACAGATCATGACACTACTGTGATAATTTTCATAAAGGCACAGAAACATTTTAATATAGCACATATTACCTACTGCAAGACACAAAGTCTTACCCAAATAACACTGGATTGCGACTTTGCTGATTTTCACACATTTGGGAAAACCAATAATGAATTCCTGTGGGAACATGCCTGTCGTCGTCCAAAACGTTTCAGAATTCCTGTGGAGACAGCGGGACAAAACCCTCACCTGCACCTTTCCATCTCTAACCATCTTGAAAAAAATTAATCACAGAAAAATATGGAGGGAAAAGAAAGGGGGAAAGAGGAAAAGCAAGGGGGAAAAGCAAAAGGAAAGGGGGGAAAACAAAGCAAAAGCAAGGGGGGGGGAAGCAAAAGGAAGGAGGGGGGAAAAGCAAAAGGAAGGAGGGGGGAAAAGCAAAGGAGGGAGAAGCAAGGGGAGAAAAGGAAGGGGGCAATGAGGGGAGGGCAACAGAGGGGGTGCATTTTTATTTAGTGTGTTTTCAGCAATGCCCTGAATGACGATGGGGCAGCTCTCGGGAGGTATTTACACCTCAGTGTTCAAGGCTCTGTCCCCGGGCGGTACCACAGAACCAGGACTGACAGAACAGTTGAATTCTGTGGCGAAGGCGCGGGGCAGAGCCCGGCCCGCGGTGCTGGCAGCCCCTCAGTGCGGGGGGAGCCGCTCCCGCCGCCCGCGCCCCCGCCCGGCCCTCACCCGTCCGCCACGCTCTCGGCGGGGTGCTCGGCGTCGCTGGAGGTGGCCAGAACGAGCGCGGCCCCGGCCGAGCTCCGGCACCAGTCGGTGGCTCTCATCGCGGCTCGGCCGGGGAACCGCGGCTGCCGCTGCCGGGCAACGGCGGCTCCGCGCCCCCCGCACGGACGGTCCCGCCGGGGGCGGTGCGGGAGCGCGGGTTCGCCCCTCGCAGGGCGGGGGGGGCCGGGCGGGACCTCCCGCTCCCACCGTGCCCCGCTCCGCTCCGCCCCGGCCCCCGCCCGCTGCCCGCCCCCGGCGCGGCCCCGCCCGCCGCCCGCGGGCGCTGCGGGACGGGCGGCGGGAGCGCCGAGCCCCGGCCCGGCTGGCGGGGCGGCCCCTCCCGGGGCAGGTAGGTGCGGGCCGGGCGGGCGGCCCCGGCGGGAGGGGGGGCGAGCGGGGGGGCGAGCGGGGGGGCGAGCGGGGCTCTCGCCTCGCTGCCCGGGTGGGGACCCCTCCCCTTACGCCCCTAAGGGCTGCCCCCGCTCACGGTGCGCTCGTCCCCGGGCAGAGCCCGATCCCTTCACAGTCCCTTCCCAGCGCAGCCCTCGATCCCCCTCCGGGTTGGACCCGATCTCCTCTCCCTCCTCCCCCAGCTCCCCCATGTCTTCAGCAGCCCCGTCCCCCCTCGGGCAGTGCCCGATCGCCCCCGGCCCCGCAGGACCCGAGCCCCAGTCCCGCAGGGCAGGAGCTGAGGGGATCCCGTCCCTCCCCTACCCCCGCCATGGCAGCTCTGAGCCCTCCTGCCCCCGCCAGGACCCCCCTCACAAACCAGACCCCCGGCCCCGGCCGGGGAAGGGGCACCAGGAGATGCCCACCCTCCCAGGGAGGGAGGTTCCAGCAGGCTCCATTGCCCAGCTGCAGTCAGACATGTGCCCTCCTCCTCATCCTCCTCCTCCCCCTCCTGCAGCAGAGCCAGGCCTGGCTGTGGGGGCCGCTTCCTACACAGCCACAGCCCCTCTGCCCCTGCCCCTCCCTGTGCGGGGCTGGGATCCATCCCCGGGTGTCTCAGCCAGCCCGGGGTTCAGTTCCCACTTGGCTGGGGTTTGTGGTTTGATGGCATCCAGCTCACACCCCTGCTCCACACAGCCTGCCCTCCTGCCACTGCAGGGCTACGTGGCTGTCCTCAGGGCTCTAAGGGGAGCTGCCAGGTTTGGGGTCTTCCCCTGGTCGTGTTTTCCTCTGTGGCTATTCTTCACCTGTCTGTGGTTTGTTTTTGCAGAGCTGGTCGAGGGGAATGTCTTACTGTCTCCACTCAGAAAGCCATTTGGATACTGGGCCGATATACGTGCGTGAAAATGGGAAGCTGCATGTGGTAAATCAGGGTGCAGGCGGCATACAGGATGTCACTCCCAAAACAAGACCTTTTAGGCTGTTTTCCAGAAGTTTTTCAGTGGAGCTTTGCATGAACAGGGAGGACGATAGGGCAAGGAGGCAGAGGACCGATCATTTCATCTTCACGTACACTAAGGAGGGGAACCTCCGCTACTCGGCCAAGTCTCTCTTCAGCCTAGTGCTGGGTTACATTTCTGACAATGTTGATCACATTGACTCGTTGATTGGTTTCCCAGAGCAGATTGCTGAAAAGCTCTTTTCAGCAGCAGAGGCAAGACAAAAGTTCACAGAGCCAGTGACGGGACTGAGAGCTCTACAGAAGTTTACTGAAGCCTATGGCAGTTTGGTGCTATGTTCATTGTGCTTGCGGAATAGGTAAGTCTGTTCACTGACAAATATTGTCATATGCCAGGGCTTTTTGCTAGCACACTTCAAGTTTCCCCTAAATTAAATTAAAAATATCTCTTGGGCTTGTAACACCACCCAATTTTAATTAAATGCCCTGAGCCTTATCTGATTCTTCTGCTTGCTTTTTTGTGCCATCCCTTTCCTACAAGTGCAGCTGCTGGTTTCATTCTGAGGTACAAATCTTAGAATGTACAGAGAATTACAAAGGTAACAGACAGCAGACTACATCTGTGTTAACTAAGAGGGGATCTTAGTGGAGGATTAAATCTGCAACATTTTTTAACAATAATAATCGGCACTTCCATAGCAATCCATGTGGTTTATGCCTTCTCAGGCATTTCATGGGATGTTTTTGTAATTGCTGTTTAAAAGCATTTCAACGTCCTTAGCTGACTGTACAAATAAAATACACCCTTGCAAACTCTCTGGGTTTATTTACTATAGTAAATAAAGCTTTCGCCCTGTCTCATTCTGGGGGCTCAGAAAAAGACAATCTGTAGTTAAGTAACAGGCTTTGAAGTCAGGCAGGTTTTACCTTAGTTTATTGTGGTTCCCATCCCCATACTGAATGTGCTTTGACAAGGTCCTGTTTAGAGTCCAGCATTAGTTTTTCTGTCTTCTCAATGTCCACCTCTTTAACTGAAAGTCTTGCCAAGCTTTAAACTGGATTATGTTTTTAAAGCCTTGCTCCTACTGAAGTCTTTCCCAGTAATATAACTAGTCTCTTCCATCTCTACACTTGAAAAAGGGATGGTTTATCCAGTTTAAAATCAAAGTACAGGCATATTCATCTGAAGTGCCAAGGGTGTTCTGAGCACAGTAGGAATGTTTGAGTAGAAGTCAATTATCCTTTGTTTCATCCTTTAAACCTACTTCCTTTTTATCTCTAGCACAGATAATTTTATGGGCTTAATTCAGAAATTAAGCTACTTCTGGCATCTTCTGCCATTACAGAAAGCTGAGTTAAGTATCAAGTCTTTGAAATCCAGGGAGTAAGGCACTAAGGCATTTTCTGATGAATTTTATTTCTAAAAGAGGCCACTCTTCTTTCTCAAGAACTGGCTTGTTCTCTGACTGCTTTCTGCATAGCCAAATTGCACAGCAGAGGGATTTAGGGGGTATTTTGGTAGGTAAACTTACACTGGGAGGATATTAAGATCCCTTTATTTGCATGGACAGAGAGGTGTTCTTCGAGGGATCAAATTAGTCAGCACCCCTCAGTTAAGCAGTGAAGATGCTGACCTCGGGGTCTGTCTTGCCATGGGGAATATAAGGTAAATTCAGGAGAGATTAGTGAATTTGGAGCTTGTCTTGCCACAGGGGCAGTAAGAGGTAACTGCAGGGGAGGTATTGACGGCTACGTGCTTATTACTGCATACTCATGCCTGCCATTCTTTAGTGGTTTGTTCCCATCTCTAAACCTCCTACTGAATAGCTCCAGCACAGATGTTTGCGTGGCTGCGGAGTGAATCAGATCAGGGAACCAGCACAGCTAAAAAAATAACCCGCTGAGTAACTGCTGCCTGGGCTGTAGGCACAGCTCTGGGTAGTCCTGGACTTTATCTAGTCAAGTATTTTATTGACACATATAAAAAGTAAAATTTTGCCATTTGCCAAGCTATCCTGAGACATTTGCAGTGGATTTTAAACCTGGGTGAATGTGGGTTGGTCTACACCCCTCCAAGATACAGAGGAACAGCAGTTTGTGAAGTTATTTATGAAAAACTGGGATATCATTTTGCATTATTCTGAAATAATGCCACAGTGATCTGTAGAGAAGTTCCTAACTGCGATGTTTGCAAGTTGAAGTCTTGTTAGTCCAATATTTTGGATCAAAGCAAAACCATGACACTGATTTAAGGAGAAGACTGGGAATTCAGACATGTTGTGTGCCAACTGCACATAAAAAGGTACTTAATGCAGCTGGCTAATTTCTGTCAGTTCTCACATAGATACTTACCAGAAACAACCGCATTATGCTTGTGACATATGAGGATATGCCTTCTTACATGCCTGAGCACTGATAGCTTTTTTTTCCCTCTTTGCAGATACCTGGTTCTCTCTGAAAAGCTAGAAGAAATTAAATCTTTCCGGGAGCTGACATGTTTGGATCTCTCCTCCTGTAAACTGGGAGATGAACATGAGCTGCTGGAACACCTCACCAAAGAGGCCCTGTCCAGGTACCAATTTCTTGACACAACTAAAAATGACACTTTCTTTCCTCTCACTAAGCAGTTCAAAGAATCAGGCTGTGACCTTAAAGGGAAGTTTCACAGGCTGCAGTGTGTAAGGTCGAAGATTTTGGTTGTTCATAAAACCTTTTCTTGACGTAAACAAAATGCAGAATGTATTGTAAACAAAACACATGGTTGAAAGCACATACTGAATTGTAAAAAGGCCTAAAAATATGCAAGATAATTTACTGTTTCGTGTTTTTAAATCAGCTTTTTATAATTTTCATTGGCCAAGTGGAAACAGTACCTTGGAACAGTTTTACACTTTCATTTCCTTTTTTAAGAGAGAACTTTATCAGGCAAATTTTTAACAAAACCGGTGTTCCAGAGAAAAGATTTCTGCAAGTAGGAGATTGAATATTTTGTTAATTAACATCTAAATACAATAACACTTTAAATTTTGTTTGATACTGAAGATTGAAAAGTAGGAAAATTTGGAAATCAATAGGCAGAATGACTGCTAATTAGGGAGTATTACTCTAAGATTTTCGTGTATTTTGCATCAAGGTTTTGTCTTGAAATGCTCTGGAGAATGTTTTAGTGTGATGTTTTTCCCTGAGTTTTGTTAATCTGTTACAATACCTCATTATTTTCTTTAAATCATTGCTGTATCTCTTATCAAATCCGCCCTCTCTCATTTTGCCAAGCATTTTTCTTAGTTTTGAGTGCATTTGAGTTTGGAAGCCTTGGTTTAAAGAATTTCAGGGTATAAAGAACCTTATTGTCTCTGTTAGCAAATATTTGGCTCTAGGATCAGTTTGTCACTGGAGCTCTGGGAATAGCTGCTCAAGTAGTGCTTCTGTTGAGCCAGCAGGGGCAATAGAGGGACATTTGTTAGTCCCACTAACCCAGGCTCCTTTCTTACTGCTCTTTACTAACGTTAACAAAGCAGACCGAAGGGTTGGCACAGGATGACACAGAGTTTTAGGACATTTTGCAAATTTATCTAAAATATTGACCATAAACCAAATGTTTGCATCTCCCCTGCCAGTGTAAAACAGCTTCTCCTGAAAGACAACTCCCTGTCAGACGCCGGCCTTCGCAGGATGACGGCGCCCATCCGTGTGCTGAAAAAGGGGCTGGAGAATCTGCTGGTGTTAGACCTGTCTTGTAAGTGCCTCGTGGTTTCACATTAGAAGCGACCTGTATCCCTTCTGATACAGAATTTACCTTCCTCAGTATTGAAGGAACAAAATTCATTTATTG